TTGGGATGGGACGGGGGGAAGGAATGGTGCCCAACCACTTGTGGACGGTCGGGGGCTTGAACGCCGACCTGCATGAAGCGAGACCGTCGCTCTGCCGTCCACCCCAAGTGGTTGGTTAAGTTTTGGAGGAGTGGAACACTCGTTCAGAAAGCAATCATGGAAGTAAATACCCTCGTAAGCTTCATGAATATGATGGATAGTTAAATAAGTGAATAATTACTAGGTGTTAACAGGACCCGCTCCATATGTTGACAAATAGATCTGCCGCAGCGTTCATTTCTTCTTGATTTTTTTTTTAAGCTGTACGAGGAATTTTGAAGACGAGAATGCTATTAAAGATTGGAAATTATTGAAACATTAAGGGAATTATCGCGAGAAAATGGTAAGCAAGTTTTAATATATAACACTTGGAAAGGGTATGAGGACAAGGCGCTGAGGGTATGAGGACAAGGCGCTGGGGGTATGAGGACACGGAGCTGGGGTATGAGGACAAGGCGCTGGGGTATGAGGACGGAGTGAAGTAAGGGGTCTGCACCCAACCACTTTATCACCGGGAATCGAATGCTGACACCGCAGGAAGCGAGGCTGTCCCTGAACCGTTCTGTCCTCACGTCGGATTGACTGGTTGAGTGATTAAAAGTCCATGTGGCTTCTGGCCGGCAAGGGAATTGACGATGTACGCATTCTGTGGATCGATGGGCGATCAGAGATCGTGTAAACTCTATCCCCAACGAGGATAGAATGTTAGCTTAAATACATTTTACATATCCTTAAAATAGAGAAATATTGATATAGTTGAAGAAAAAGGTTTTTATTACATATTTCAACGTTTCAGCTGTTTTGCATATATACATAATACTGCTTCTCACCTCAAAACATAACAAATGGCCATTTCTCAAATATTTTATTATAGATATCTTAAGAAAATAAATACCTTTTAGGATTCTGTAGTTCATCACTTGAGATTAAGTCCGAAATTTCTAGCGAAAGAGTAATTTTTAATGGTATTTAGAGTTCATAAATATTCCAATACGCTTTTTAACAGGTTCAGTGATTCCTGTGGAATGTATCGATACCGATCAAGGGATCCTCGATCGGTATCTACGATATTCGGATCAAATGAAAATCATCGCAAGGTAGGTAGGCGATGAGTCACAATAACGTGGCTAAAGTATGTTGACCAGACCCACACACTAGAAGGTGAAGGGACGACGACGTTTCGGTCCGTCCTGGACCATTCTCAAGTCGATTGAGAATGGTCCAGGACGCACCGAAACGTCGTCGTCCCTTCACTTTCTAGTGTGTGGTCTGGTCAACACCGCAAGGTAGGTCCTGTATAGCCCTGTAGGTCCTAAGGACCGACATCGATCTTTAGGTCCAGTAGTGAGTATACTGATTAGGTCCAGTAATGAGTATACTGATTAGGTCCAGTAGTGAGTATTCTGACACCAATCCTTCGGTCCAACGGCAAATCCCGACACACATCCTTGGGGTCCTGTGACAAACATTGTCTGGTCATTGGGTCCTATGGATTGTAGCAATCCTCCCCCTCCCCCCCCCACCCCCGTCCCATCCCAAACCCCTAATCCTGACCCCTTCCTTCCCTTCCATAGTCGTTAATGGCTTGGCGCTTTCTCCAGATCCCTTCCCTGGTACCAATACTGACGCTTGGGTCCTGTGAAATCTACGACATCGGTCATGGGGTCCTGTGACCTGAAGTGATGCTGATTCTTGAATCTTTGCGATATCTTACGACACTGATTTTTGGGATGTATGGATCTTACAAGTGTGATAGACTTGCATTGATTAGAATACCGATATATATATACAGTATATATAAATCTATTGATGTATCTACTACTTGCTTGTAGATAGACATGGGAAGCGATATTTTAGTTGCAAGACATACTGGGTCGTATATTATGACTTGTAACGTGTGTATAATTTATTCTGTGATTTATATATGAGCTGTGAGGAGGAAGACAGGTTGGCTACCGAGAAGATGGTGAGAAGCCCACCAGTATAGTCTCTGGCTTGGCTGAGGGAGCTTAGCAGGTTGGGCTTGCCAGGGCGCCTGACTGCTGGGTGGACAGCGCTTTGGGTTCGTAGTCCTGAGCTTTTGGGTTCGATCCCCGGTGGAGGCGGAGACTTAATGAGCAAAATGTTTTTCACCCCCTGATGCTCCTGTTCACCCAGCAGTAAATAGGTGCCTGGGAGTTATATAGACAGCTGCTATGGGCTGCTTCCTGGGGGTGTTTAACAAAAAGGAGGCCTGGTCGAGAACCGGGCCGCGGAGACGCTAAGCCCCGAAATCATCTCAAGATAACTTCAAGATAAGATAGCCTAGCGGGGTTTAGTACAACCTCGCTATCTAACATGGTATAGCCTCGTTAGGCTACCATGTTGCAGCTATCCTTGGCTATCCTAGAGCTTCGCTAGGTTATCGCATTACAGCCTCTCTTAAGCTTCTTCACTACAGTCACGCTGGAACTCTAATATTATGACTCGGGGAATATTATCATTACATAATAAATATTACTATTGTGGCTGTCGTTACTTTTATTATCATTATTTTCATACACTAGCATAGTGTTGAACTATGCTAAGCTGTGTTGAGCACTAGCATAGTGTTAAACTATGCTAAGCTGTGTTGAACTATGCTAAGCTGTGTTGAGCACTAGCATAGTGTTAAACTATGCTAAGCTGTGTTGAACTATGCTAAGCTGTGTTGAACTATGCTAAGTTGTGTTGAACTATGCTAAGCTGTGTTGAACTATGCTAAGTTGTGTTGAACTATGCTAAGCTGTGTTGAACTATGCTAAGTTTTGTTGAACTATGCTAAGCTGTGTTGAACTATGCTAAGCTGTGTTGAACTATGCTGTGTTGAAGTATGCTAAGCTGTGTTGAAGTATGCTAAGCTGTGTTGAAGTATGCTAAGCTGTGTTGAAGTATGCTAAGCTGTGTTGAACTATGCTGTGTCGAACTATGCTAAGCTGTGTCGAACTATGCTAAGCTGTGTCGAACTATGCTAAGCTGTGTCGAACTATGCTAAGCTGTGTCGAACTATGCTAAGCTGTGTTGATCTATGCTAAGCTGTGTTGAACTATGCTAAGCTGTGTCGAACTATGCTAAGCTGTGTCGAACTATGCTAAGCTGTGTCGAACTATGCTAAGCTGTGTTGATCTATGCTAAGCTGTGTTGATCTATGCTAAGCTGTGTTGAACTATGCTAAGCTGTGTCGAACTATGCTAAGCTGTGTCGAACTATGCTAAGCTGTGTCGAACTATGCTAAGCTGTGTTGATCTATGCTAAGCTGTGTTGAACGATGCTAAGCTGTGTTGAACTAGGATATGCTGTGTTGAACTATGCTGTGTTCAACTAGGTTTTGTTCAACTAGGTTTTGTTCAACTAGGTTTTGTTCAACTAGGCTGTGTTGAACTAGGCTGTGTTGAACTAGGCTGTGTTGAACTAGGCTGTTGAACTAGGCTGTGTTGAACTAGGCTGTTGAACTAGGCTGTGTTGAACTAGGCTGTTAAACTAGGCTGTGTTGAACTAGGCTAAGCTACGTGCTTTCACCCTGTCTCTTGGTTCTCCTGCAGTTGAACAAAATAACTGGAAAAAGAATGGATGAATTTCGATGATAAGTGATGATGTTACCTGGCTGGTCTAGAATTGGATATATTTGTTAGGATGTAGCTTGATATATTAATTAGAAAACCATCATCGAAGCAAGAAAAGAGAGTTGACAAAAAAGACATTTCATTTTCTTTATCATTTCATTATACTGTATATATATTCATTATATACATTATATATTTCATTTTCATTATATATACTTATCTTCCTTGCAGTAAGTGGTTATAAGTAAGCGTCATTTTTGGTATGAAATATAGTTTTTATAGTGTTATTAATGGTGATACAATGTAAAAGTATTCTTTTGTAGGGAAATTACACACAGTTATACAGTGCTCCTACAACTACAGTACTGTATATCCCTGTCTCCAGGTATATATTTATCGTCATATACACACTCCCAGTATACAGGTATACTGTATACCCTCCATGTATATATATTCCCCAGGCTATCATGAATTCTTTTTTTTTCTATGTACAGGTCTGCCCCTAGCATCACCCTGTATGCCTTTAGTGTACTACCACGTACAACTGATTTCACGAATACCTTGGCTTTCATCCTAGCTAACCCTTAAAGTACCTTCACTCTCCACTAATATCTTAGCTTCCACGTTATGTCCTTGCTGTTATGGTCGTCCAGATCTCCTCCAATGCTCCCACCAGCCTTTACGTCGCCCTAAACCTTCCTGTGTGGCGAAGTCCCCCAGGCTACAGAGTTAATTAATGAAACTTACCACCCAGGTCGCAGGTTCAGTCTCCCAGGGATCGAGGCTAACCTTCCAGGGGCCGCCCACGGCCATCGTTTAGGGGGAATTCTTGTGTGTGTTTCAGTTAGACATAAACTCTTGAGCTACTATAGAGCCAATGCTCTA